GAATTTAATGAAAACTTAGAAAATTGAATATTGAAAAAACAGACATACACATTGATATGTCACAATATTTAAACTTGTATCTAAGGAAGAAGAAAATACGGATAATAACTGAATATACTGCAAAATAATTTATTTCTTCGTATTATATATACGCTAATTATTATTTAAATATATAAAAATTTTTATATCTTAAAAAATAAACTAATCTCTGATCTGTTAATTTAATTTCCAGAAATCGAACATCTATCGAAAATGAATTCCTTAATTTGTACTGTTAAATAAAGTTTCTTTATTTTTTTATTTGTCTAAAAAAATATTTAATTCTTTATAAATTTAAACAAAAAAAGATAAAAATATAATTTTTAATTGTTTCATCCTAAGTTTTTCTTTCAATTTGCAATTATAAATAATACATACATAATTACAAATTAAATCTGTATTTGATATTTATAATTAAAGACATAAATATGTGTCATGCCAATATAATGACGTGTGTTTTACAACATAATGACTTTGATCGCGGAAAAACCAAACATTACGAACATTTAATATTGCTCGAAACAGTGGATTCTTTCGTTTCTTCTATACTGTTAATAATTTATGAATTTGTAATAGAAACGTCGGTTATAGAAATTACCACGTTAAAGCGTTTTAATATGAAGATTGTATCGATAACTGGAAAAAAATAATTAAATGCGAAAAAATAGCATTATAAATATTTAATGTTGCTCTTTCAAGATAAACTTTCGATAATGTTTAGTTTTTTCCGCATTCAATTATTTTATTCCAATTATAAACGCAATCTTTACATTAAAACACTGTGTTTAAAATGTGTTAATGTTTAATTGACGTTTTTATTATTGATTCGTTAATCTAGCGTAAACGATATTAGAAAATTAACACGAAACAAGCAAAGCTTTTTAATTAAATTCTTATCTTGGTGGAGCCTTATTGAGAGGAATACTAACATTCTAAAAACGGAACTTTTTAAAGCATTAAAGAGTTCTTAATTCTATGTCTTTTGTGTTTAATAAGAAATTTTATAAACAACTTTTTGGAGTACCTATGGGTTCACTATTACCTCCTACAGTGTCTGATATAGTTATGCAAAATTTATAGCGAATTCGATTGGACGCACTCAGTGCGCACTGGTGCACATTAAAGCCGTCGTATACAAAATAATGTAAAGATATGTTTACAAATAAAAATAGAAATCGACTAAATCGTGAAATACTCAATACATTTTATTGTACTATTAGGTAAAATATGTATTTCATAATTCGAAATATTTGCATTTCATTTTTATACTCAAATTAAATCAATGTACAATGGCTTTAATATGCACCAGTGCGCACTAGTGCTTCCAATCGAATTCGCCATTAGAGTTGTGTTCGCTAAAAAAAACTTTCAGTGACTCCTCTCTTTTATGGAAAATATATGGATGACATTGTTTTGGTTCTTGATACCTTGAATATTGATGAAATTCTAGATACTTTTAACTCTTACCATTTAAATCTTACCATCCGAGACTAAGATTCATTATGGAATTTGGGGGAAAATACATTGAATTTTTTAGATGTTTGCCTGATTAAGAAGGGAAATTCTTTCATTTTTGTTATCATAATATTTTGATATCATAAGCCTACATTTTCAGGTCGATTTTTGAATTATTTTTTTTGGCATCCCTTTTCTCAAAAGATAGGCACAATAATCAGTCTACTCGATAGGGTGGTGGTGTATTATTACTATCACGTCCTAGTTTTTATTATAATAATTGTGATAATATTATTAAGATTCTAAACAATGGTTATCCTTTGAGTTTAATCTTTTCAACGATTAAGAAAAATCTCTATAAAAAGTTTGATCAATTAAACCACATAGTATCTGAATGTCAGGAACACAGTGAACAGAGAGAGACTTTGGAAGTGAACAAAAAACAATGGTTTTTCATTCTCTCTATATCTGACAAAATTAGGAATTTCGTTAACATTGTTCTTTTAGTACGCATGGCATATAGAGGTATTGATAAGTTAAATAGTTTTATTAATGTACAGAAAGATACGATTTAACGTTATCTCATTCCAACGTAGTTAATAAAATCGATTGTAAGGATTGTGACGTGTCATACGTTGGCCAAACGGGCAGATGTTTAAAAACGCGCATCTGAATACAGAAATTATATTAATAGGAACACGACTCAACCTTCTGTTATCACAGAGCATAGAATTGAATTATCCCATGATTTTGATTGAGACAATGTTAAAATATTAGATGAAGAAAAAATATTAAATAAAAAATTATTATCAGAGATGATTTACATAAAGAAAAAGAAACGAGGTTTGATGAATTTACAAAATGACGCGTTATCGTTAAACCCGTTATATGCTTATTTATTTATACTTTATAGGGACGTAATGCTTTCTTCTTATTATTTTATTTTTTTGTACTCTGTGCGATTTGTCTTGTAACTCATTGTGTGTCTATTGTTCGAATCATCAGTATCTCCGTGAAAAGTCTCATTCCTTTTGTTATATAAGTTTAAATTAATTTATTAAAAAAATGTTTTTTTTTAAATGTTAATACTGACCAATTTTCTCACATTATTTTTGTTTTAAATAGTAAATCGGACAATTTAATAACAATATGGTTACTCACATGGTTCCCACAACTTGTTTGACTTCATGTAAGTGACATTATTTTTTATAAAATCATAATTTTCCGACATAATAAAAAATGATTGTATTTCTTATTAGCAAATCAGACAATTTGATAACCAAGTTTCGAAGTATTGAACATCTAATAGTTTTAACTATTAACTCATGTATTACAGCATTCTCTCTTTAACGCGGTTTTTTATGAATAATTTGATTTTGCGTTATTAATTGTTGGTTGAAGAACCGAGGATTGAAACGTATACGTGTATTTACTTGCTATAAGTGCTAATTGCTATAAATGGTGTTGTAATTTACACTTGAATATCTTGTATTGGCTCATATCGGCATTACTTATCTTGTTAGATTTAATCACTTGAGCCTATTTCATTTATTAAATTTGGTTTTAAAATATATAATCAACATTAAAATTCCATTATTTCCTTTATTGATTTCTAAAGATGTATTATTTATCTTGAATTATTTAAAATACATATAATTTTTATATTAAAATTTAAAATATAATATAATAATTAGACATAAGTATAAGAATGATTAAAACTCTAAGAATGATTAACTCAATTAATAATTTATAATATTAATTAATATATTAGATAGAGACAAAAACATATTTCAAGAATTTATCGCTTAACAAATATTGCATCATTTTGGAGGCTGTTTTCACATTACACAATAAAGAAGAGAAGAAGGAGTTATCGTATGACGATGTCAAAAACATGTCGTATGATTATGTACATTGATCTTTTTTTTAAAGAATGTTAATAGATAATTAATGTACATGCACATTAATTATCTATCAATTTTATTAATCTCATCAGAAGTGCTTTTAGATATGTCGATCATTGTCGGTGTGTTTAAATTAAAGTCTGTTATTTGAATTAAATATTAAAAGCATAAATATATACGAGAAAGTTTTGTTATGGCTATTTAAATATCTTAACTAATAATAACTAATAATTAATAATACTAATAATTAATACTTAATATTAATATTAATTAATATTTAACTAATCTCTTGGATTAAATCTCTCGATTTAAAAATGTCTCAATCCTTTCAATTAATGAATAATAATAATGAGATTCTTCTTTTACAGCGAGCCGTACAAGTAAATGAAGAGATACGCTTACAGAATTTAATTAATTGACTTTATCATAACATTATGCATACAATGTTATACGTATCGCCGAAGGTTCTTAGTGAACCATGATCCTCTTTTTTTCTCTAGGAAATGTCATTGAATCGATAATATTACAATGCCACATTGATACTCTTTGATCATACTAATATAAAGAAGTAAAAATATTTTATTCCGCGAATTTCATTAGTCAAAATCTTTACTTCGCTGCACAAGTAGATTCACGATGTTTTTCATAGTCAATTGTGTAACTTTCGAATTTCGTAATGAAGGCAAGAAGAATATACGGTTTCTTCCTTATCTTTTATTAAAATATTATTTATTAGCAGCCGCACGTCAAATATGTTTTTATTGATATATTATTACATATCGTTTTATATTTTATCACGTCGCGATTCTTTGAAGCATGATAACAATGAGTATCGATGACTGACATCAATCGTTATCTTTCTCGAATATACAAGATGTATTAAATGATATCTTTATAGTAATGTGTAAGAAACGAGAATTTTCTTAAAGAAACGTGCACATTTATTTTCACGAATATACAGTTTAAATTTATGATTCGGGCTGTATCGGGTTGAATCATAAATTTGAAGTAACGTCATTATAAATATCTGTAATAGTTTGTTGGATTGAGTCAACATTACATTTTCATAACAAAAATCAGTTTTACACACTATTTCTTTGTTCTTTAATTCTATTTCATTTGTTGAAAACGTTATTTTCATCTTTCTTTAATTGTTCTTTTTTTTATTGCAATTTCGATTTAATTTTGTATTTCTTTATTTTTGTTAAAAATTTTTTTCAGAAATCAATGAAATTCTTTTTGTCTTTTCTCTTTTTTATCTTTAGTGTCTAACTTTATCATTATTTTTCGCTAATTATATTTTAGTGCATGTGTTTTGTTACACATGATTATTTTTTAAAAGAATTTTTTATTGGCTCCTACAAACATTTTTTCTGTTATTTTCTCTTTTTTTTCTTCTGCTTGCGTTATCATCATTGATAGATAAGTTCCGACCAGCTCGACGGTCAGGAGTTGACTAAACGGCGGCTCGAGTCACGAATGACTCGGAAGCTCAGAACCGTTCAAGAACGAAATGCCGTTGTGTCGATCTTACCGAGTGGTCGCGCTTACGTCGACAGTATATCTACCGATTTCGTCAGGAATTCATTTATTCTGGAACTCGTCGTGAGAGCCGAGTGCGGTACCGATGGTGTACCGATTGCGGCTTTTATTATCTATTGGTCGTAATATCAATCTTTGACGGCGATTAAATTATTTCTCAAGATACTTTGTGATATTTTTTGGACAATAATCATCTCAGTATCCTTGCTGGTATTCCGAAGTGATTTCGGTAATTATCGATTTGGAGCTGCCGTTTTTGAGACCACTATGATTTGTTTATTTTATATTGTGATTATATTTGTGATAAAAATTATTGTATAATAGATTCTTCAATCTATCCCTTACTGGACTCTTCAGATAAATTTTGCGTGAGTATTTTCGCAATTATTTGAGAACTATATACATTATATATTGAAAAAAAAGACTTGTTACGTGTATTTCAATAATGCGCAAGTTAATTCTTTGTTTTAATCATAATTATATTTTATCGTATAAAAGCTTTCATATATTGCAATACAGTTTGATATATAAATTGAATAATTATATAATAAGAGCTCCTTTTTATATTAAAAGATTGACTATAGTTCTGTCATCTTATAGTGCTGTCCACGATTTGTAATTCTGAGCTTTGACTTGATGTGTGTCATTCACGACTGTTGTCTTCCTTTTTCTACCTTCGTTGAGAAAAAGAAAGGGAACAAACATAAACATCGGTATACCATGTCCTAATTACAAATCTTGGATGTAACTACATTACACAGATAATACAAAATTTAATTATCGTTTTCAATTACGTATCATTCGTGATTTCATTATATAAACAATAGTTTAGATTATATTACGAAGTTAGCGAAAGGCAGTATTCGTCAAGCTTTCTTTGTATTCTCTAAATTAGAATTTAGAGTTCTGATTTTCATCCAAATCCAATAAAGATTTATATTCAGCGCAAAATACAATTGTACAATTATTATTATTATATAAAAATATTTAAAAAATAATTAAACAGTATGGACGAATGCATTTATATGAGTCACTTTGATAGCTTAAATGAACAAATGTCTTCTGCAGCCACGCGCTATTATTAAATTTAATAGAATGGTTTAGGAGCGATAAAAGTCCAGCCATAAACAAATAGTATTCCAGTCAGTCCGATTTAAATCTATTTAAATCGTGGACTTGGCAAACGTTCTTAGTCGACTAATAAGTCTCTGTTTTACAAAGACTATACATATAGTAATACTATAGGTTTGTAATAGATGCTAGCTATTACAAGGTAAGCAGATCATTTAGAATCAATTTCATTAGTAAAACGTTTTAAGTCTTTATTTCAATTGTAATTTAATTTGACACTTTGATGATAAAGGAAATGAAAATTATTTTATTATTATTTTATATACATTTTATTATTAATAATATTATATAGATTATATTTTATTCGATTTTGTTGACACCAATATCTTTCGATTAGAAGAAGTAAAATTACATAGCTTGTCTTATCTAGCAAGTGATGTTTTTAAATAATTGAAGTGGAAGTCACAATATGTGCACCGAGAAAGAACTGTGTACGTAAATAAAACCGTTTAAATAACAGTTACGGCCCTTGAACAGATAATGCAGCACAATAGGAAAGTGAATTGTATTTTAACGATCATACAGAACCAGTTCAAAGTGTTAATACTAAAGACTAAATTTACTTGTTCGAGCGATTTGTTCGGGCTTGAGGATTCCATTTGACCCAGTTTCGCTTTAGTGAGCTTCCTTTTTCAATATGGTAATACTGTCGCGATTATATTGCAAAACCGGCTGAATATTGTTGAAGATGGGTCAGTTGTAACAAGTAACTGACGCGTACAAAGTACACGTCAATCGTGTGTCAAAAAGTCATTGCATGCAAACTGTGCAGCGAGTCGTTATCCGTAGCGGATGTGAGTCGTGATAAAGCGCGTGAATCGACATCGGAAATCGGTGGGAAGTCGTTCGGAAGTGGATTATTTAAAAAAAATTAACGATTAGAATATGACTGACAGATAACGGTATAAAAAAATGAATACAATAACCTCTTGAGAAACATGAGATAACAAAATGAATATATGCGACTTACTTTATTTTTATTCCGTGATGCTAAGAAAAGATTTAAAAATTAGAGACTTAAATCATCGACGCGTTTAAATCAAACAAAAGCAAATTATGCCAAAACGCATTTGTTGTTTTATTATCTCTGTCATTCCATTTTCAACAACCGTAATAAGTGCTTTGTTACACAAATAGGAATGCCTATTTTGCTCATTTTTGTGTTCTTCCTTTTCTTAGATAACATGTTTTGTAATCTGTGCTATTCGTTACGACACAATTGCGTTGCAGTAAATATGGAAGACAGTGGAAAAGTTTACGCAGAAGTATTGACAAATAAGAAAAGAAGATAGAATAGATAAACGATATATTTCTTCTAATTTCACAAGTTTAAATTTGCGTTTTTATCAGAAAAGTATGTTTGCTTATACATCATGCGTATTTATAAAATAATGGTAAACTTATTGCAGAAGTATTTTTAGAAAAGTGACGAGTTGGAAAATTTTGGAGTGTTCCCATATGCAAAATTTTACATCAATATTATCTTACAAATCATATTACATGTGTATTTCTATTACAATATGCGTCTTCAATTTACGTTCACAATTCGCAATACGTGTCGTTTTAAACGAAAGCATCATTTCGAAAAAAATACAATTTTGCAAATATGAACTTGTAAAAAAACTGTATAAAGCAATTTGATATTCCTCGAGATTCATTTCCGTAAAATGCACTCATGTGAACATGAATAATTTCCAGATTAAATTATTCGTGCTTATTCGGATGTTACAGAAATTAAATAGCACGAATTTCACGACTAATACATAAGATAGTCTTAATTTTCCTCGTGTCAGTCCGCGCAAAATTGCGCGATAATAATATATAATGATAATTCTATCCTTGAATAGTTGCATAGAAAATGCAATTTAGTGTCATTTAACTGGAGACACTTGAAGGTATTAGACATAGAGGCGATCGTTGAATGTGGTGCAAATTTATGCAAGAATCTGAGTAAGAGATATAAATATATGAATAAAAATAATATAAAGCATTAAAATAGTATATTTATACGAGATAATGCATATGTAAAATATTTGTTATCTTTAAAGTAGTCATAAATATTAATGCACTTTTTCTATTTTCAACCTGCATATGTTATTTTAAAAGATATGCCAATGCAAACATTTTTTTTTTAATTCGTCAGCAACAGGGCTGGCAAAAACCCGGGTTTTTCATATTAAACCCAACTCGCTGGTTATAACCGGTTTTTCCCTGGTTAAAACCATAATAATTTTCCAAAAGGCGCCCTTTACCCTCAATTTCGATGAAATTATGCTCTTTCGAAGCATTTTTGCACGAAATCAAAGAATTTGTCTCATCCTGTCTTTTTCTCATTAACAGTCGCTGAATTTCGAAGCATTCGTTCGATCTACGCAAAAACCTACATTCGAGAGGAAAGTTCACCCACTAGAGATACCCAGATTAAGCGGCAAGGTGATCTTGATCTTCAATCATCATTTGTTCCGCAAATTTTTAACCTGGTCACAACAATTCTAAAATAGAAATAGATAAGCGCCATTTATCCATCGAGAAAATTTATATAGTAAAGTCTCAAAGAAAAACGCGACTTGTGAGAAAGTTACATTTTGCTACGTTCTCGATTAAATATCAAAAGAATATCCGAAACATTGACGAAATCGAAGTATTTGTGGTATTAATCTAATATTTATTTTCGAACCAAATATTTTTTCTGTTTACGAAGGAAGACATTGAACTTAATATCACGTGTTCTGTGAATGATTTATTAGTGCGGCTGAGGTATTTTCATTTATCGACTACACAGAAGGCCTTCGGAGAACTCGTTGCGAAATTAACCGAGATAATATGTATTTTTCTCCATCGCAAAAAGATTCTCTCAATTACGAAAAAAAAGAGGCTGTACTCCATTTCATGTGATTTTTTTTATCAGCAACCTAAATTACTGTGATTTAAGTCGATTACTGTAAAAGGCAAGCCAATAAAGGATTTGCAGAATCGATAGAAACAGTATACAGTCACAGTATTTTTAATTAGAGTGAAATAATTTTTTTCTTTGCGAAAAACGATCTACGTTGAACTTAACGCTGTGTTTTATGTGAATAATTCACTATTAATAAAACAACGTACGCGTCGATGTCAATCACTAACTGTACACATGAGCCAAATAACGTTATGTTGAACATACAAATTATTCTCATGTTATATTCTGCGGTTATTAACATAAAATTTTTCTAAATCCGAACACTAAATTTAGTTTAGAAGAGAAGCAGCTGCCTGTCAGCAGTTGCTTGGTCAAGAGAAACCGAAGATGATGATAACGATACAATAAGCGAAGCAACAGGAGAGTGGAAAAAGGAAAGTTACTAAGAAAGAGATAGACCGATAGAGAAAAAGAGAAAAAGAACAGCGACCCTACAAGTAGCAAATCGATTTAGCAGGTGTGCACGTACTCCAAGGAAGAGATAAAGAAAAGAACAAGGACGGTTACCAAAGTAACAAGGAAAGAAGATAGACAGAACAAGATAAATAAAGAAGAAAAACGAGAAATTCGTAAAATTTAAAAAAACGAGAAAAAAAAACGGAGTAAGATCAGATCGAAAGAAGCAAAAAAGTACCCTTCTTGAAACTGGTCCTCAAAATGAATAAAAACATTCTGAACTCGCATGTGGCCAAGAATTGCCACGTTTTCGACGAGGAAGCTATTTTGAAGAAGATACGATGGCGCAATCTCGTAGCCTTCTGGATTCTAGGTCTATGCAACAATTATGGCTACGTCGTGATGCTCAGCGCGGCCCACGACATTCTACAGAGCAAATTCGGTGAGCAAGTGAGTAGCCATTTGATTCTTGATTATCTGTCGCACGAAGAAAGCTGGAAGCTTCCTTTTAAATCTGGTAGAACTCGGGGAGAAAAAACAGATTTTAAAATTGTGTTGCATCAAATTATATTCTTATTAATTAGAACTATTCTCTCTTATAAATTAGAACTAATTATAAATTAGAACTTCCTCTTCTTCTTCTTCTTCTTACGTAAGGCCTCTGGCCTGTGTTACACCTCTCTCATATGCTTGTGGTGCGCACGCTGATTATTTAATTGCCACGAGCACATGGGACCTACAGTTTTAATACTGGTTCCGAACAGCGGATTCTTCGAGAGATGTTTTTGTGGGCAAGGATACTTTCGGGAGGTTGCCAGCCTTTTCCGAGAGGAGACACGAGCGTAAATATTTTGGTTCCTACTGGGATCGAATCCGGGACCTCTGACATGATAGATCAGTGCTCTGTTATGCCACGCTCGCGTTTAAATTAGAACTTATTCTTATTATAAATTAGAACTAATAACTTAAAAAATTTTTTATAATACTTTTAATATTAAAATACAAATTGAATAGTTTTCATGATTCTTGAGCATTGTTTATAAAAAGAAATAATTATCTTAATTTAGAATTATAATTATTTTTGGATTAAAATTCTAACAATATTTAAGAAAATTATACATATGAAGTGTACCAAAATAAATGATTAATTGAAACCATCATAAAGTTATATAATTTGGAAAATTTATTCTAATAAATTTTTAAGAGTCAATGGAATATTTGAGATTCGATCAGGCGATACAAAGATGATATTAGGTCTATTCTTGATGGAAGGACTTTCTGAATTGGTGCGCACAGTGCAATAAGTTGAAGTGAAACAGATATAATTTGTTTCACTTCAACTTATTGCATCATGTGTAGCAATTCAAAGAATTCTTCGATAAAGAACAGATCTATTTCATGGATGAACTCATATTGTTGTCTAACTCCAGATAACAATAGTTACAATAACAATAAACTGACAATAGGCATCAAGTTCATCTCGGTGAGATAGCGTAACTATTTTGCTTTATTCACAAAAGATTAACATAATAATGATTTGTAACTTAAATTCTCAGAGATCTTTCAATTTTGCGTATTTTTTCTTTCTAAATTTTGGAAATATTCTTACGTATCATTTTCTTGAAAAATTCTAAAAAAAAATAAATAGCTTTATGAAATAATTGTGTCAAATTAATCTTTACCTAATTAATAATTTTTTATCGGATGTAAAGTTATCTCCATATTTTTCTTGAAAATTATCTTTTATCCATCAGTTTAGAAATTAGTCGAATAATATAAGAAACGGTATCCGATAATGCGTATCTCAGTAAAGCCCGCGTAAGATATCTTATTTATAGATACACAGACTTGTATCAATTTAGATTTGAAAGTGCAATGTTGCAAACAAAGAACATATAAAGTTATTATTATTGAGAAGCTACTCGATATGATTTATTTATTTGGTGAAACACAGTAAATCTATTTATTAACTAATTGTAACAGTTCATACTTTAAATGATTAATAATTTACAATTAATTTAAGATTAAATAAAAAGTAAAAAATTATATTAGTTTGCACATTCGTTATTTTTGATATAGAAATTAATCTCGAACATTCGCACAAAATAATCGCAACTGAATTGGCACAATTAATAAGTAACTATTAATAATAGATATCATCTTTCCTTAATACTTATTTCCATCAGTGTAGATCAACTTTAATCTCGGTTCAACTTACTCTTCATTTTTTATAGTTCTAAAAATTAAAAAAAGACGAAGAATAAGTTGAACCGAGATTAAAGTTAATCTACGTTGGAGAGGAAACGAGCTTATGTTAATCTTTTGCAATTGACATGGATCAAAATATCAATTGGTAATATTCAACTTTGTGTGATCTAGGTTAATGGTGTGATTATAATAACTTATGTATCGATTAAATTCGTGCCGATATACGATATGTCAATCTGATATGTATTATAATTAAATACTCGTACGAGTTCTATGGAAAATTTTCTAACGATTTGACCAGCATTATAATCAGCATTATGCAAGTTGCGCGTTCTAATTGATTTAATCATTTCAATTTACGTCGCAGTTTAGCAATATAAATTGATAAATCTGCGCTATAATGACTCGTTTCTAAGTGTAATGATTCGCCTTCGTCTTAAACGAGGAAAATCGTCGTACTTTAATAATTTATGTCGTCTGGCCGGATTTCCGAGTAAAAAAAACGTGTCATCGGATAAAGCAGCATGAAACTATTATGTTGTGCAACTAGTGTTTTTTGCGTTGTATTTATGGTCGACATGTTATGTAAACCAGACGGATGTAACAAGAATTAATTCGTCATGTGCAAAATATTATACTCGTAAAATATTAACATTATTATTTTTGACGTTCTGTTTACTGCATAAAACAAAAATTACTTTTATATTTCGAAGCAAACTTATTGTAAAAAGAATAAAAATTGAAAAACAAGATCTTTAATATTGTCAAAAATTTGTGTAAAGATAGTATTCAAATTAAATTTTTCAGACAATCTCTCCTTTTTTTCAAATACTTCTTTTAACTTTTTAATTGTTTGGAATACTTCCTTTAATTTTTATTTTAAATGAATACATATTATTTTCTATTATTTGCGGTTTGACTGGTGATTTGTACTTGACTTTATTTGTTTAGATGTATCTTAACGCTAATATAGATAACATGTACATTCTATTAGCTTAACGAATATCCATGTAAGTTTTTCTTCTGTTTTCTTTCTGTTTAAACTGTTCATTTTAATCTATTATATTATTTATCTACATTCTATTTTTAATTTTTAATTTAATTAGTGCGTCGGGAAACTCAATAAGTTCATACATTAACATTGAAAAGGATCCGAAACTGGATCGAAACATATGTATAAGATATTGGAACGAATAAATCTTATTTCACATCGATATCCTGTGTTTGGCTCCAAAAGACATCAACTTAATGACAGAAGATTCATATTATTTATATTATTAATCTCAGATCGATTGTGGTTAATGGCCGAACGTTTCGGCGCACAGTCACATCTGAAATAATTAAATTTAAAAATTAAGAATATGTATATTATATGCATAACTTCTAACTTTGACCGATTATTGGCGTTCTTTATTTATGAATACATATCATAAATGACAATTGTAAATATTTTTATGATTTTTCTAGAATGACACGTCAAGTAATGACACAAACGACATGAACGCGACATACACTGGAAATCGTACATGCAACACGATTTCAACCGGTGCCATACTTTTGGCAGACATTCTGCCATCATTGGCAATCAAGATTATGGGGCCATTTCTACCATTTCTAGTGCAGTGAGTATCGTTATTTCTTCTTTTTTTCTTTTAGCCGCGTGTAAGTGTACACGCTATGAAGTGCACTCTTGTGCATCTTAGCGTTATTCCGAGATTACTTGTCAAAATGAAGCCAGTGAGCACTACAGAACAAATAACCTCCCACAAAATTATGCATAGCCTCATTAAATAATTGAAGTGATAACAGAAACTGAACGCGACGCGTGATTTTTTTCGCAAAACATTTTTATTGTTTTCCAGATTCTACACAATTTTCCTCGTGTTGTAAAATTTATCGCATTAATATTCGAGCACTTTTCTAAGAATAAAATGTCTTATCTTGACATCTGCAGAGATTCCACGCTTGTATGATAATATTATAGCTCAAGATGACTGCAATAAAAGTAAAGTGCCAAGATTAATTTATCCAATCCCGACGATTGGATGTTCTTGATAATGACATGTGCATTCTTAATTATGTTAGTATAGTCTAAGATAAAACGCAAATACCAAAAATAATAAAAAAAACCGTAACACACTAGCTTTAACTATAGATTTAACTAAGGATCTCGGTTTTTTCTCTTTTTAAATTGCTCCCTACATTAGTGGACTTATAACAATTAACTAATTATTATTATTTAATACGACAGCGATTTGGCAAACGAGAATGGATTAAAATGGATTGAAATTTTGTCTATCCGAATTGCGTATTTTAAATAGCGAAAACTTTTTTTTGGATTCAATTGGATTCAATTAGATTCAATTGGATGCAATTGGATTGAAAAACTGCATTTCCTATTCAAAATTTTTAATTGAACAGTATTCACAATGCACAGAAAAAGCTGATATTATTTTTAGATTGAAAGGCATAGAGAAATGCTCTATGCAATTCCTATAAATGAATAAAAATGCATTCAGAATGGAAAAGGCATAGATATTTGCTTCATGCAATTTCTATAAATGAATAAAAATTTAAGATTGAAAAGCATTTATTTTTTCATTCCTGAATTCGTATTTTTGAAAATGTCAATTCATTTCAATCCATTCTCGTTTACGGGGTATAGCAGTATTTATTTTCTAATGCTTTCATTTTTTTCGTATATATATAATGTACAAAAATTATCAGTATATCTAAATTTTTTATGTAAAATAATTTTTTGAAATATTATCTAACTAATTAGACTAATAATAAATTTCTTTTATAAGACATATATATTTTTTTAGAAAAAAATTCAAGATTTGTACAAAGTGCACAAATCGCATGGAAAATTAATCGAATATGAAATCTAGCATGCAATCCGAGTGTTTTTATTCCTCACTGTTTTTTTTTCTCGATATACTTCCTTATCTTTTTTAAAAACCTTGCTCATTCGGCGCACGACAGAGCCTCGGATATCGCGTAAGTCCTTTTCGCGGTTGTACAAGCAACCGGTCTCAACCGTCAATCGCTAATCGATCAATCGACTCATTAATTACAGTGTTCGACTGGCTACCTGTGTGTTATTTTCCGCTGCAGGATTCCTCATGGTGTCGTTGAGTACTGCTGAATGGGTCGCCATTATGGGCGTTGTTATAACGTCGCTTTCCTCCGGTTTGGGCGAAGTTACTCTTCTCAGTTACAGTAACCAGTTTTCCAAGTAAGTGTGTATACTCCATTTGTTACTGTCCATTTGTTACTGTCATATTACAGATGCGTTATGTTCATTTTCGCTCGTTCGCACACACCGGAAACTGAAACTTCTTGTAGCTTCCAGTAGAAATATATACTCGTATATAGATAGATCATCGATTCAACAGCTTCTCTCGTTGCATAGAATTTTTATATTAATTTAATTATAACAATAAGTGTAATTATGTTTAAAACAGATGCGTGTATAAAATGAAGATAAATAATTTTCTTTTTGGGACATAATTTTCTATGCTTCAGAGAGTAATTCTTTGGGAACAACAGAAAGAATAAAAAAGACGGAAAGTGTAAAATTTATACTTTGAATGTAAAATAAGGTAGAATATCGATTGGGAATACCCAATTAAAAAAAAAAATTTTAATATAAAGTTTTCGGCTCAAATTATTACGAGACGGCGCATTTGAGAGTCGGAATTTGTCATCTGTTGCCACGACGGCGGGTATATTTCCGGAATTGTAGTATAAATATTTAAACAGTAACAGCTAAATAGCGATAATATAATGCAACGCCAGAGAGTTCAGATCTAAAAGTGTGTATATGATTATTTCCAAAAATCCTTATTTCCTCTTCCTTTTCCTTGTTTCTATGTTTTTCTACGCGTTCACTCATTAAACTTTACACAGTTTTAAAATCTTTTAATATATATTCTCTTTTAACTTTTATACACATCATATGATGCGTGCATTATCAATTGAATTAATATATTACAACATCTTGGAAAGAATCAGCCCAAATATTGTATAAGAAACTCGATAAAACTTTACTTAGTTTTTGTCCAGTTTTTACGCATTATTTTAACTAGTATATATATATATAATTTAATCTATTAATACTAGACAATAATTGGATAGTGTCTACGCAAATTGCACAAATTTTTATCAGGAAAACTGCTTCAGTCTCTGAATAAAACTCTATCAAGAGAGAGAGTTCTTGTCCATTTCCTACTAAGTATTGATACAACTAATGAGAATACATTAATATTAGATAGTAACTGGATATAATATAGGTGTCTAGGAAAATTGCATATATTTCTACTATGGTACGCGCACGATTTATATCATATCCAGAAAAATCAGATAAAAGAATGCACGCGTAAAGATTACCAACTTGTACATAGGCTTATAATCACATTTATAATCACGTGGATAACTACAAAGTAGCAATTACGACGGCTAACCATAATCTAATCACTGATCTCTTGTCTAACTCTGATCTAATTACTGACTCTCTTGTAAAACGTAGAGAATCTACACTAGGAATTATTTATCTGTCATTCAAGTTGTACTGTCATTTTAGACAAATGTAGAAACGGAAGAGTCGCGTAATACAAACACTCGTTAGATAACGAGCAATCTATTTATTAAGCTCTAACGTCAGATGATTTGAAATGCGAAAATTGTAAGATAAGCTTATATTAATTTTAACTTCTATCTTTTTAGCCTTTGTTTTATCAGCTTCTTATAGTTCGGAATTTTCTTATCGTTAATTGCTATTAATTTTCTCGCAGGCAAGTGATCTCGACGTGGTCATCGGGCACGGGCGGCGCCGGGGTAATCGGCGCTGTATCTTACGCTGGTCTCACTTTGGTACTATCTATCGAGAATACACTGCTAGTCATGTTAGTCGTGCCACTTTTGCAAGCGATTACGTTCTGGGTTATCCTCAAACACCCGACGCACACTAGAATTCCGATCACCAAGAACGGCATCGACAGTCAAGAACAAATCATCAAGGTCCCTGAAAAGACTTTCAGGGACAAGATTAATTTAGTGCCTGGCTTGCTGAAGTACATGATACCACTTGGGCTCGTTTATCTGTTTGAATACTTCATCAATCAAGGCTTGGTAATGATATTTTCCGCTATAATCTCCATATTTTTTCACTATATACAGGCATTTTAATCGCCCCGGGCGAATATCTCAGAAACTAAAAGAGATACAAGAAAAAGTTTTATATGAAAGTTGTAGGTTTTCTTAGGGTTGTAAGTTTCCCCCAAGAAAATCTACAACTTTCATATAAAACTTTTTCTTTTATCTCTCTTAATTTTTGAAATATTCGCCTGGGTCGGCAGCTAGAAATTTAAGTTCTTCAGTATTAGTCTTAGAATATCGTTTTATGTTGTTACAAAATAAAGTTGCTTATGCATGTCGTTATTAGCGGTCTTTGAAAAATTAAAGTATCTTTATCCGAAATTAAAATTATTCCACACACAATATGACAATAATGACAAATGTCTATTATAATATAATTTTAATTTGTATAATTATTATTATGTATTTAATTTGTATAATTATTATATTATCGCGATATAATATTTATTCATTAACAAAGATCGTAATTTTTCGCTTTACTACGACATGCGAGGACATTGCGCGATAGCGGCGAAGTCAACAGTGTAGCGGCGCGGCGAAGCGCTCATGCACACTATTAGGCGCGCGGCCTTGCGTTCGTTTAAAGTACGATGTCGATTGGATTATCTTTACTCGATAATAACTGTTCAGTAAGCATTGTAGAAAAAAAATTTCCTAATACTTATCAACTCAATTTTTTATCAAGAATAGCGCTATGATTAGTAGGCGGTATTTAAGAAACACTCTGTATACATATTTTTACTCTGCTTGCCTATTAATTATATACCCTACAATCTTTTTCTTTCTGTTAACATTATATAATTTTGCCATGTTTATATATGCTCTTGTTAAATCAGATCAATTCCTATTTTTATTTTTAAGAGGAAAATATATGCAGGAATTACATCCTCTATGACTTATCAGCTTCATTATTGAGAATTTATTATTTAGTTTATTGATTTCATAAGTTATAATTAAGCGAAACTTTGTTTGTAGTACGAGCTTATCGAATTCAAAGATATTTGGTTGACACACTCCGAACAATACAGATGGCTCCAAGTGGATTACCAAATAGGTGTATTTATCTCGAGGTCATCGGTGAACCTGGTCAGCATTAATAAAATTTGGATTATGTCCGTGTTGCAGGTAATAAAACTTCAGGAATCAGGAAGTCGAAAAAAAAATACAGATTATACGATCTAAAATTCATTGTATTCTTTCAGTTCTTTAACGTTATAATCTTTTTCTTCGAGACTCTCTATTATTACATACCAAATATATGGGTCGTGTTTGCTCTTGTATTGTGGGAGGGTCTGCTTGGTGGTGGAGCGTACGTGAACACGTTCTATCGAATGTCGACCGAGGTAATGATGCAATATCTTTTCATTTAAGAAATAAGTTTAAAAAAAATTAAAAACTGTGCAAATTAAATGAAACTTGCAGAACATAAACTAACAGTATCTTATATCAATGTTACAATTTTCTATGTTATAATTCCAGCAATGTAACTGTTATAAACAACATATGTATTGTATTACATTTATATTGTTGAGTGAGAAATTAGAATAGTGATGTAATATTACTTTTAATTTATATTCTACGAAAAAATAATGCGTTAATTCCTCTGCAATTTTATGAAAAATGTTGTATCTCGTTATCTAATAATATTTTCTACGGCTTAAAATTAATTTGGCGTGAAATCTCTTATAGATTCCGAAGGTGGATCGTGAAGCTTCTCTAGGAATCGCGACGATGGCAGACTCTATTGGGATTGCGTTGGCCGGTTGGCTATCCATGCCTATTCACAATGCCATTTGTAAATTACCGCAGCCGAACCGATTAGGTAGTTAAAGATATCATGGTGGTTCGAGTGCTGCTATTATACCGAGTGATAACAAAGTTTCGGCAGAAACTTGTTTTTTTAAAAGTTCCTCAACACAATATGCCGGTGATTAGCAGCGAATATGAGGCGTTTCTTTTATTAATTTAACGATTGTGCTGGTAGATAAAATATTTAAACATAAAATTATTAATAAAATTATTAACGTTCCGGTTAATCTTTTAGCTTTGTGGAAGTATTTGCGAAATTTTAAAGAAAAATTAATAAAACAAACATTCAGAATGCAGGCGGCACAGTGATGAATTTTTATAGTCTACCACTTTTAATATATTTTATAAATATTGATATCTATAAATATTTTATAAATATTTATTAGATTTTCTAAATGATATTTTTAAAGTCATTACCGTTTCACTCGCAGAAACATTGTAGATTCATTATAAGCGCTTTTTAAACAGTTTGGATTACAATGTATTACAAATGTCCGAACTTTATTCGGTACAAACGTTTAAAAGATTAGGAACAGGGCATATTGCAGTACATGTCGCATATTAAACATACATAATATATTATACGGCGACGTAACACTTAATACACGAATACCATCTGTGTTTTCGCTACGGAACGAAAGAATTTCTTTCTCTCTTTCGGAATAACTGTACCTAAATCCTGCTGTATTATAGGTCTATTTGTTTCACGATATGCGTATAAATTTTGAGAATTGTACTGTAAATCTATATTTCTTCTATAGCATATTTAAATTTTGACTTGTACTGTAGTCTTGTTTAGTGCTGATATCGTAGATATATATTCTGAGATTACTATTAGTTGTTGATCTTTATATCGTTACCATAATAGCTTTCCGACTTGCTGCGATAAAACGAGATACGCAAGTATTTTCGTGCGTTCTCAAAAATCCATACCGTCGAGAATTGATCACTCGTTGATTTGAGGATATCTCAGTATTAATAGCTACAATAACGAATTGACCTCACCGATTAATTAGAAATAATAACGCACTTGAATTACACCGTTTCTTTACTCACTCCTGTGATTAGATATAAAAATTATTAAGTTTGAGCTACCACATTTCTACTTTGATATATTGATATCTATTATTTAGATTATTCTTACATTTTTTGATTAAAAGATTGTGATTTTAAGTATTACAGATATTTATGTTGATTTTAATAAATCAACGGCCGTTGGAGCCGTCAAGATGAGCAATATTTTTGCCTATATATGTGATTGTTTCAACGATACAATCTAAGAAAGCAGCAATTTAACATGTTATAAAAGTTCAATCTTCATGTAATATTTATCTTCTGTAATATTTATAATAGCGACAAATATAATAAATTTTTTGTTTATATAAGTTTCAAATTGCAAAATTAAAAATAGAATAAATTATGTCGTAAGTCAAATATATAAAGTAGTAATTGAAATATTCTGAGCGATTGAGAAATAAGAATTTTAAGTTGCTGCTTTTTTAAATTGTACTATCTGTCACACATTTAATAGTCTATCGATTTTTAATTCAAGCAATATTTCTTTTTTATGAAAATATCTACGCCAATTTCTTAAACCCAGAACTACACACATGTATCTGCGAGATCCAACAAGATTCCGTCGTTAACATTTTTGAGAATTTCTTTTTGTTTAAATATTGATTTTTTAATTTAGCAAGATTAGAATTTTGATCTTCTGGAAAAAGATTTGTCGAAAAATATACGCTTTTTTTTCCCAGAATTAGGTATCTATACATATAAAAATATCCAACTGTGTGTTTGAGAGACTCGGCATGTAGTCTATGTATGCAAAAAAATGTGTATGCAGTTCTAAGATTAATAATGCAAAACTCTCGTATGATATTTTTATGTTAATAGTATGTAAATAATGAATGTACGATGCTATTACTACTTTTACTACTTTACGATAATGTTACTTTTTTCGAGAATAATTTAAAATAAAGACAGTTGCGATAATGGATATGTCTCTATCGTCTCAACATGTAAAACGAGTATTTTATGTTTACAGTAAATAAATATCTAATAAAGATAACTATCTAATAAAATAATAAAAACTTATTGCGCGATAAATCCATATTGCATCCATTTACGCGTTTGCAGAAATGGCTTTAATAGGATTTTTCTCTTCTAAGATACGATATATGGAAGATTAGCACGGAGCAATTAGGAACTGTATTCTTATAAGCCGTATGTGTTATGTGTCTATCTAACACTGGCGTCTAAGCAAGTTGTAGATTAAACATTGCTCATTCGCAATTTATGCGTTATACAAGGTGTTTCTGATTAATCGCACTTTTTGCTAATTATAGTGCATTACGAGGAAACATCCTGCATAAATCTTTTTAATAAAAAATTATCTCTGACAAATCGCGAAAAAACCTTAGCACATTCTAACTATGTTTTTATTAATAATGCTTTAGGCGCTTGAGAAATTAGTTTGATAATGTTGCTCACGAAGACGATTTACGTTACACCGTAACCCATGTTAATTGTTACGTAATTGCTTCTAATATTTGAGTAAAACATTTGATTAGTATCTGTGATGAAATTAAAAATTAATGAGACCCTCTTTTTCCATTATACCAACACTGAACCAAAACTGTACATAAATACAATAAAATATCCATTGAATTATGAAAAATTAATGAAAATTGGTCCAATGAATTCTCATAATGATTTAGGTTATAAAACTATTACTAGAATTCATTGCAAGAATGAATATATAGTTATATAAATGAATCCAGTTATTGTTTCAATGAATTAACTACATTAAGTCGGACATTAAATCGAATAATGATCATTCATTGGACTAAAAATGACCAAAATTTTTTTCAGTGAATATATAATTACCCAGATAACACAATATCGAAAATATCGCAAGAATATCTTAAATGTCTGGATAATTTTCTTTTAAAATTTTCATTTACGTTTATCAAAAGTCTTTTGCGTTACTTGGAAAGCGATTATTAACTTAAAATTGAAAATAAGACGGTAAAAATTAATTTACTGAAAACGGAGCATTCGCTTCCCGTTTTTTAAATTTCTCCAACACTTAATTATGCACATCTTTCCAAAATGAGTTTGCCGGATTCCTCGTACTCTTGACGCGACAGCCACATTTGTTGAAATGAGCCCAAAGAACTGAGGATCGAGCCACCGATCCAGGCACCATAACGTCGCTCGCTTGAGCTGTTTGCACTGATTGTTTTCAGTCTCATACTCTATAAAAATTAAATTATTATAAATCGAGAAATTTGAAACTTCGTAATAAGTACTTAATATCATTATAAAACGAGTTACCGGTGGGGTTTTACTGGACAGGTCCCGATTCAGTCTCTCACTGAATCCCTGAAGACAAGAATTGCCGCCGGTCACCACTACGCTGCCATACAGACTCTGCAACATAAGTGTCTTGTTATTTTATAAATAACAATGTACGTACGCGGAAGAACGGTTTTGTTGAAGTATCTAAAAATTTAGCTAGTTACAGATTTGAAAATAGTTTTGTTTGAATCAAGATAATTTGTTATGTAAGATGCTCTAACTTGTTGCTAGAATGTTAATTTTTTTGCAACATTGCTTATCATGCTTGAGATTTTTATTCCTATGTAATTTTGATGGTTCAGCAAAGTTATTTTCTGTGAGCAAAATTGATTTAAAATACCTTAAGAAGGTTTTCACTTTAATTCAATCTAATCAAAGTAAATTTTATACATAATATAAATTTGATTGCGAAAGTACGTACTGGTCTGATGTCCATGTCGCACATTCCGACACTTGTGGTAACCAGAGGACCGACTCCTAAAATACTCGCACCTACACCTTTAACGTTACTAGGATCGAAGAGAGCTTCGGGTATCATGAGCCTTATAGATCCGAAATCATCATTGTAACCAGTCGGAAATTCAAAATGCTTCATGGGTAGAGTATTTGCTATATCTTCATCATAGGGACTATCCGATACTTGCAAACAGTTCATCTGAAAGTCCTGTAGCAACTCTCGCACCATGTAGCTCAGCCAGGACGACGATGGTTGCGGTCCGGGTCGTTTCGTCCAGCGAGGAGGATCTCTTTCTCGTACTACATCTAAAAGAAATATAAATTAGTAAGCAGAAATCTTTAAAATTATACTAGAATTCTTTATAGTTTATTGGAATCTAAATTATATTTTTTAACTTCGATTAAAAATCTGCCAATATTTTATCCTGTAGGAAATAGCTATAATAATCTATGTAGATATATTTCATTGTATTTAAATTTCTTCCACATATTTTAGGGAAACTGCGCATCCTTAGTGAAACATTAATTACCTTTACTGGCGACAAGACAAGCCGGTACCAGTTCGATGTCTTTCTCCTCGAAAAACTGTCTACATTGCATAGTGATGAAGTCGCCACCCAAAGGACTCTTGACAATTCCTTGAGTGATAACGTAACCATCGTGAACCGGCACCGCACTAGTGTGCGTGGCACCGCTGTCCACGACCATCGCCGTAGACCTACCGTTCGCGTAAGCAGCCAATACGGCGTTCTTGCAGATGTACATGGCCGGCACGTTGAATTTTTCGAACATGAGCTCTAACAACTTCTCGCGCTTCAGTCTGGTGTTCCACGGGCACTCGGTCATCAGGATCGGATGATGCTCGGATAAGGCATGCAGTCGTTGCTTGTACGTATATTCGGTCAGTCGTTCAAACATGTCCCAATCGTCGATCATACCGTCCTTCATCAGGCTCACTATCTCCATATCTAAATCAAAACTGGACATTTCAGTATCGCGAAAGTTCTAACAATTAAAGTGAGTAAAATATAAATATTTGTTAATAATGGCGTTGCACTTACACTGATTAATTTTGTATTAAACTAGATTAATTATAAATAAATTATATACTTTGATAATAAATGTTCACAGTAATTGTATATGTATTAAAATTTTAAGTAAAAAATATTTTATACAGATCATTTTCTCTGGTGTAATTAAACGGTAATTTTACGTAAAAAAATATTGTGTCATATAAATAAAATTGTTTTATATGAAATTTCATTGAAACACAGAGAATCCGAGAATTTCTACAATTGATTATTATGTTTCCACTAATCGCCGAAAAAATATTTATTTATTTGTAGGATTTTTATATATGTCTTAGAAAGAATTCTGTTTTCTACATTTGATTAATTCGATAAAGCTATTATTAATAACGAAAAAAAGGTTTAAATAAATCGTATTATGCTTATTAATAATTATTAATAATTTATTATGCTAT